GTGCCTGGAACTACTGAATAAAAGGCATTTTCAGTATGAAATGGTTGTCATAAAATTCACTTTGGATAAGAGCCTCCAGCTACCAGCAGAGGGCGTTGCACTAAATTGATTTTATTTTAAACTGTAGCCAATAATACATTGGGGGAGGGTGGGGAGAGAGAGAGAGAGAGAGAGAGAGAGAGAGAGAGAGAGAGAGATTTGTTATTATAAACGTGCATTCTGGCTTCAAAATACAGGGAAAGGATGCAAGCTTGATAGATAGATAGATAGATAGATAGATAGATAGATAGATAGATAGATAGATAGATAGATAGATAGATCAAATATTAAATAAAATGGGAGTTAAAATAGAATATTTGTTGAAATAATGTAGTATTGCCTTACTTTTTGACAAAATAACAATAGATTTAGGTTGATTGGGGGAAGAGTTATTAACTTGGGTAAATAGACAATATTACTTATTTTGTATTTTTATACATTTAAAAGATAGCATAAAAGAACCATTGTTACTTGACTGTGAAAGGATAAAACTATTGAGATTTGACAGTGCATTTTGACTTGTTTCATTTATTATTTTGTAAAAATGTTCAACAGAAAGAGAGATGTCTGTCCTAAAATAGCTATCCGTGTGATTGCTAGAAGTGAAGAGCGTTAGCTATTTGTTACTCTTAGTTGTAGACGGTAGACGGTAAGAATCACAATTATAGTTGAAGTTGTAGACGGTAAGAATCACAAGAACTAACAACCTTTTAAACTCTATAGTCAAGAGTTATTGTGTTAAGACAAATCCCAACAGAGGGCGCTGCTGCCCCGTTCAATGATGGATTTCAAAGGGATTTTAAAGCTTCGTATTAAAATATGTAGGATTTTTCAGATGTGGTCAGTTTGGAACAATTTTCTTAGATTTTAATCGTAATAACGGTAAGATTTAGCGATGGACATTTTGATTCCATGTTGATAACCTACTTTTAAAATATGTATTCACTCTTTCAAATATGGCCCTGAAGAATAAAACATAACAAATATGATATTGAAATTACATCATTTGATCAGTTCCAACAATTCTGAGTCGTTTGACATGAAAATATTTGTTCGCATTCATTTCAAAATGTATATTAAAATAGTTTTTAAAACACTAACGATAAACATTTTAAAATCTAAGCTACATATTTATGTTGATCAATTATTATTATACGTCTAACGTCTTTAATATGAAGCTTATTATACATTTTAGCTAATATAATATAATATATTAATATAAAATAATATAATTATATTTTAAATGACCACATTAAGCAGAAATAAACTCCATAGGGGAAAAAAATATCCTTGATAAATCAAATCGTTTTCCAAATGTTCATCAGACACATGGCCCTATTGCGTTGTGTTAATGAGAGTTCTAATAAATATGTGACTTGCGAATCAGAATGCACAGCCGAAAACATTTTGCTAGTGGAGCAGCCTTGGTCGATACATCGATTTGATCTTTTTTTGTATTATGACTGTGTTTTCTGATACGTGGCACTTACATAATCTCCCGTGCTACTCAATTGTAACTCGTAATAACGCACAAATAGATCATAAAACGGAGTCACTTTGCAGCACCAGCCTTGTAGAAGATGAGCCAGAGACTTCAGCAAAACTGGTAGTAAAGTGTCCCTTTATCTGATATTTGTTTGAATCGGAATTATTGCTCATCACAGGCAGAACCGTATCTTTTGTGATTGTGAGTGTAACATAAAATATAAGCCTACATGCAAACAACACATATACGTTTCGCTTTTCAATATCCTATTTGTACTACTGCTTGAGACGGACGTCTCTCTCAAACCAACTAAAGTCCTATTTGATAGCCCCACGCAGCAATGGATAATATAAGACAATCTTCGCCGAGAATCCCTCTTATCTGCTTTAATAACTTGCCACAGAAATTGCCCTGCTCCTCTTATAATAACTATCTGCTATTTGTTTCGTCCCCTTTGTGGGTTGAGCTTCCAGTGGAGATGCATGCTTGGAAATGGGGTGTATGGAGGGGGAGGGGGGAGCTGGGAAGGGAGACAGAAGAAAGACGAATTTACACTTTCTAGTTTAATTTGCGGGGCTGAAAAATCGGAGACTCTGCTTATTAAGTCTCCTCACTCCTAGATTTAAACCGATCCCGATTTCTAGGAGATTAAAAAGTCCCAAGGACTATATATATATATATATATATATATTTCTCATGGGGGTCACATATAGATTGACAAAGATGTTCAGGAACATTACGGACGCCCTGAAGTTCCATAGATAGGACCCTGAAATTAGAAACACCTCCTTGTCTTACTCATTAGTTCACTGAAAAGCGCAGTTGTTTTCTTTCAAAGCGAGAGATGGTCTCTCCTTGCCCTTAATAACTGCTCGTGTCCTTGGCAATACTAAAAATGGACAATGCAAACGAATGTTTGCCTGGACACATCAAGGCTAGTTGTGTTCCAACGCCCCAAATCAACGGAGAAATGTAAAAGCACAAATATAACTTCATGGTGTTAATGTCTTTTGAAAGTAGCTACTAGCTCTTAGAGAGGTGTTCGGGATATTGTTAAGATCTGTGCTGTGCCGAGAAAATGTCCCGAGTTATAAAATATCTTGCTCAAGCCATGAGTATAAGGATTCCAGATGCAAAGCTTTTACTTTAGATTCGCTCCTTCCGCTTTAATGTCCCTGTCTCTAACTCTCTGCTTTTGTGTTTTACTGCATAGGAGAGAGGATTTCTGGACTTGTATATAAAAGCATAGTATGTGGAGGGAAACATAATATCTCATTGCAAATGATGAATCGTTTCGTATAGAGGCAAAATAGTCTGTATTTTAATATAAATAGGGATATACAAATATCCACTATTCTGTCTGCTGTGGATAAACACATACAGCGGAGAGAATAATGGGTATTAATAAGTGTATATATGTGTGTGTATATACACACACACACATATTCATATATTGTGATACACACAACGATAAACTTGTGGGTATCGTTGAGTATCACAATATATGAATATGTGTGTTCATATAAGTGTGTGTATATATATATATGTATATATGTATACATACACACAATGTGATCTATACATACGAATGCATCTATAGTTGTATGCATGTATTTGTATGTTTATGTGTACATATCCGACTATATCTATATGTATATATGTCTGTATATGTATAGTTGTGCGATTCTCTCTATATATATGATGTCTGTGTGTACATATATATAACCAATAATGTTTTTACTATCCGATTGAGGTTTACTTCTGCAGCCTATTGTTTCAGACAACAGATATAAGTTGCGATGGAAGAGGAACGTCGGATTTGCTGTCTGTCCCCCATTTCCAATTATAGATGGATCATTACAGACAGAGAAGTACTGAGAATCCAGACATCTGCTCTTCACATGAATGCACTCACCTCCTAGAGAACAGCCTGCCATCATGCTCTGGAAACTGGTTGAAAATGTCAAGTATGAAGATATCTATGAGGTGAGTATATAATATGCATGTGTGAGAGAGAGTATATGTATACAGTATATAAATATACATCTACATGTTTATATGTACGTTTATACAATACATATATAGATAGGTACATACATATGGAAAGCTATATAGATAACACACATATACATTCAGGAAACCCAGAATAAATGTTCATATGCTTATTTATTTGCTTTTTTTTGTCTTCAGCAAGGCGAGTCCTTAACTTATTTTTATAGCTATATGATGAGATTTAAAACATCAACGAAATGATCTGGGGGTTGAAATAAGGCAACTTAGACGCAAAAGTTTGATTTTTAGATCTCAAATTCAACATAATTCGATTAAACGCGGACAAATGTCAAGAAAAAAAGCTTAAGAAAGGAAACACACTCTTGTAATCCTGTGTTTTGATACATTTCTGGGTTGTTGTTGTTTTTTCTTATTTTCAGCCCCAATCTTAGAGCAACCTAAGGTTGTTGTTTTTCTTGTTGTGCCTTCCTTATAAGATACATCTGTATGATTTTTTTATAAATACACTGAAATATATATATATGTACATCAGTATCTATACACACATAGACACATATATAGTCAGAGATAGCTACATAGATATAATCAGAGAACAGTGAAAGTTGTATGGATTATTCAGAAGGCTTTGATTTTTGAGGCTCAAAAGCAAAAATGTAAAACATTTGCTAATTTTCTACTGCTTCATGACCTGGATATTTTTTTTTTTTGTAAAGTATGCTCAGTCCATTTGGTTCTTTTAAGTTAATCAGCGACTGCATTTTCGCAGAGAGGAAAAAGACTTGTAAGGAAAAGGCGTCTGTATTGTCCCGTTTCGTCTTTTTTTTTTTTAATTTATTATTATTTTTATTTTTGGGGTACTTTGCAAATGTGAGCAGCACTTTTGCTAAGGAGATTTTTAAGAAGGGTCCCCCTTCAATTTCAGTACAGTGGAGTTTGTTGCCAGAACAGAACTCGTTCCAAGCGGCAGGATACGGTGCCGGTTGATTGTTTTAGCAGTAAAGTCTGCATGGAGCGTGTTTGTCCAAAAGAAGGAACCCTGTTCCCTGCAGTCTATGGAGTGGATACCATGTCATGGGCTGGCTGGTCAAAAGTCAGAGCCTTTAAGGACTTAATTCTGGAAGTGAGTTAATATTTAATCCAGAGATCTGAAGGAGAAAGAAAGAAAGAAAGAAAGAAAGAAAGAAAGAAA